ATAGGGCACCCCAGTGTGAACTGGGCTGCCTGTCTGTGGGTCCTTACCCACACTTAAAATTCAGTTGTACTGCAGGTGCACACACAAAAGCATCAATAATGGGTTTAACTACAAAAGGGGAAAGGAAAATGAACAACCCAGGGAAAGAGAGAGATACAGAGTAACTAGAATATCTTACCTGCTTAGCTGACTGGAAGCAAACTAACTAATTGCTAGTTAGCCCCTAGTCACACAGTCTGAGAGCCACTGCCTGAGTAAGAGAGCCAGTTGGACAAAATGGCTCCCTATTTATCCCTCAAAGACCCAGAATGCCTGTTTAGCTCCAAACTTGGGTCCTCGCAGTTCTCTCCTTGGTACTGCTGGGAGTTGTAGTTTCCAATCACTGGAGTAGGGAGTGGAGTCCACAAAATTCTGCAGAGTTCCTTTAGGACATCCTTCCCCTTAACTAAATGACAATAACAACTACCACCACTAGGCTCTGAGCTAAGCACGTAATCATTGGAGGAGTCCAGTGAGATAGGCATTATTATTTGCAGCTGAAGGATCTGGGCACAAAGGGATTAACCTGCCTAACTGAAACAGGAAGTGTGGATTCACAGTCAAGATCCACACAGGAACCATTAGTCTGTGTCTTTTCTCTCATCCCTTCTTTCCTCCCTCCCTTCCTTTGTTCTCTTTTCTTTCCCTTTACTCCCTTCTTATTTAAGGTGAGAAATCCTAGTTCAACTCTCGGTCAAGAAGCCTCTGCAGTTTTCTAGGGTACAATTAAAGGATGTCTTTGAGGGTGACAGGCAGAGGAAAGAAGGAAGTAAATATATTGAGTATTTAATGGGCACTAAGCAGCACACTAAAAGCTTTAGAAGAAACTGTCTCATTTAATCCTATAAACAGCAGGTTTTAACATTACATTTATTTATAAATGAGGAAACTGAGATCAACCAAATGCCTTGTCCAAAGTCACTTTTTTTTTTTTTTAAGGACAGAGTCAGGAGAAATCACAATTTTCTGTCTTAAGTCTAGATCTACATTGTCTCATTGATGGTTACTGTTTCTCTCTGCCCTTTATATTGCACTTTTCAGTGTGCAGAGAAAATGTTCCATTTTGGATGACATTTGTCAGCCTTGCTCAAAATATAACAGCAGTGAGATATTGGTAATTCCACCTGGTTTTTAAAGTCTTTTGCAAACTGCCTTTCTTTTCCTTAGTCAAATTTTCCATCCTTCCCTGTTTGTGCCTTCTCCTCTTCCCCTTGTCTGGGAAAGGTAACTATGCCCATTACATTCAAGTTTATTTCCGTAATTTCTACTCTCCACTAATCAAAGGGTGTACAACCCCTGTGCCCTCCCTCATCATCTCCTCATGCACCCCTCATGATGTGAAGGGAGGATACCCCAAGATGTTCAGACAAGTCTCCTCAACATATCTAGAACAGGCCTCCCCAAGATGTGTCACCTACACATGTGACTTACTTCACATTTAGGTCAATCCAGGCTTTGCAAGCTCAAGAGAAACTTTTCACCACTTCCTTAACTACCTAGAGAATGAAAATTGAGCTATCTCCAGGAATGACCTTTCTTTTGGAGAAAATTCTGCCTGTTGCAGGGCAAACAGTCATAATGGAGCACATGGTCCTCTTGCCATGTGAGTCCCCTTCCTCTCTCCCCAGGCCCAGAGCCCACTCCTGAGCTCAGGGTAAAAACACCCATTTTATCCCATTTACTTTAGAGCTAACATCCATGTCGTTTCTCCCACTTATCTGTCTGAGGTTCACTTGTTTGCTCCATCAGCCAGAGGGAATAGAGGGAGATTTTCCCTCTGCCCCTATACATTCTAGTCCCCAGTGAAGGGAATATGGATCATCTCAGTGCCCTGCTCAAAAGCCTTCAGGGGTAACTACTGTGTGTAGAAGAGCTGGGGTGTAGTAGGTAGAGGTGAGGCGGGTGAGTGGATCCATCAGAGACAGAGTGGGGAGCAGAACAGACAGATTTATTGAAATACACTGCTGAGGGGTGCATCAGGCAATACAAGAGAAGTCTGCCACACCCTATATGAGTTAGCTCCCTGGGCGGGGATTGAACTCAGGTGGTGTCAGTTAGACTTAGCCCCTAGGCCATTAGGGAGGCCTAATTTGGGGATAACCTTCTATCTGTTCAACAAGACCCTGATGATTTATCCTGGTATGCACGTCAGCCATTCAGGCCCAGATATGTCCCTGGTGCCAGCACTATGCCAAGCATTCTCTAGGTGCCATGAGAATTGTGAACCAGCCAGACAGGTCTCTGCCCTGATGGTGCATAAATAGGATGTGGAGTAATAACAAATAATCAATTAAATGATGACTGTGAATCAAGGAATTACAAGACTCTCTACAGTCTAGTCTCAGCCTTCCCCCTGTCCCCTAGTTCTTTCTCATTGTCTTATTCCATTCAGCTGAAGATACTCAGTTTCCCATCTCTGTGGCCATTCCCACACTCTTCTTTCCTGAACACAGGTGCTCCCCTGCTCCACCCTGTCCCCTGCCAGGACCAACTCTGGCTCTGCTTCCTTCTTAAAACCCTGATACACAACCTTAGCCTGAAGGAGCGTCCCTCCTTTGAATTCCTAGCACTTATCTATTCAACAAATAATTACTGAATGACTTCTTGAAATATTTGCAGGATGACTCTTCATGATCTCCTAAACATGAAGCTATAGGATTAAAGATCTTAATTACTTGGGGAGTGAGATTTTTCCTGCTGAAAAGGACCAAGGATTTTCCCCCCTTCCTTTGGGGAAGGGAAAGGAGTAGAGAGCCACAAAACTATATATTTGAACATACAATATGACAGTAAGTTTCCCTAATTATTCCCAATCCATCGCTGACATTTTTCTCTATCTTCCTGGTGTTTCATTTTCCTTTGTGTTAACATTTGTAAAATTCCTCCCCTTTCCCATTAACATTTTATTTAAAAAAATCCATTTTCTTATAGTCTTTTTTTAAAACTTTTTTTTTTGGAACACATCTAGCATCCTGCTGTCTTCTGTTTTAGGGTGTGACAGTTTTGTCTTAAAACCCAGGGAATTTACTCAGACTCATCCATATTGTTTCCAGTTTTCTATGTACAATAACATTGTTTTAGGGCATTTACTCAGAAATCCATTCTCAAGACCTACTTTGGATACCCCAAAACAGTATGATCAGCTTTCTTGGAGAGACTAACCCTGTGGGCTATTTAGCTATTCAGTGTGGCCATGTTCAGATGCAAAGGAGAGATTCCAGAACTGATACTGGGCCTCCAAGAATTTCAACTAGATCTCCCAGTTCACCACCCTCATCCCCATTTGAAGGATGGACAGAGACAGTAATTTTAGTTTAGGGTTAGTTGCTAGACAAACTTAAGATTGTGGGCGCAGTTGGAAAGATGACTAGGGCTGGCATCTTGCCCAAGACCATGTAGCTGGTGGGGGCAGAAAGACATTATTTAGAAATATTAGAGGCTTCTCCTTTGAAATCAAGGATTGCTTTGATGGGATTAAAGCACAGAAGAAATAGGGGCTCCCTCTCCTATTGCTTCACGTTGAGAAATGATGGAAAAGACAAGCTTGCAGTAAAAGGTCAGCCCTGGCTCACAATTGCACACCATCTTGTTAAGTGCATTCTGCTTTGGTTCTATAGAGCTCAGGAGATCTGAGCTACAGTTCCTTCAGGCCAGGAAACCCAGGATTGTAGAAAAACGGACTCTTTCTGAGACTCCAAGCCCCTTTCACCCACAGCTTTTCCAGCTTCAACTTGAAGCCCCAGTGAGTTTGTCTCTAATCTCTCTGAATTCTAAAATACCAAGGTATTGGCTGGGCTCTCTTCTTCCAGGAAACCAAGAAAGGGCAAGTCGTGTGCGGTCTTCATAAAAGCGAGAATGGCAGTTCTAAAGTTCTCCTGAAGAACGATTCGATGGGCTTCAAGGTCTTATAAAGGTGAGGAAAGGTTACAATGGTGGAGGGGGGGGTGTTACAATTTAGTGGGCTCCTAAGCGGATCCACTAAGTTGGAGTAGGGCAAAAGCAGAAGCAAGGGAGAATCTAGTTCAAGAGGCATCAGGCCAAGAAAGCTCTCTCCCGGGACAGGCGGGGGCGAGGAAGGCAATCCAGCTCGCTCCTCCTCTGTTTGCTCTCAAAAGCTCACTTTAGAATCAAGAACACAGGTAAAGCCCAACGGAGCCCCTACAATCCAAACAAAGGGAGCGGTTTCCACCAGCATATTCAGTGGAAATAAAAGCTCAGCTTTACCTTTTAGAATCCACCCATCCCTTCTTATCACCCAATGAGGCCACAGTCTCCTCCGGCCGGGAGGCGTTGAACTCTCCCAGGAAATGGACAGGTACCTCGAGCCAATGGTTGGAGCTACGGTTGGCCAATGGGAAAGAGAAATGGGTCGACCTGGGGGTTGAGAAACAGCCAGCCTGCAAAAGGGGGGGCTGTAGCGTAGGGGTGGGACCCGTGTCTGACCCGGCAGCCCCACCGCGGAGGAACCTGCGAGCCGGCTGACGGCGGCCAATGGGAGCGCGGGCTGGCTTGGGGGGCGGGCCCTGGTGGCGAGAGGCCCCGCCCCCGGG